AATCTTCTTCTTGGTTCTTTCGGTAAAGTCACGTAGAAGGGAAGTAATAAAATAATAAAAATAAAACATAATAAAATAATTCTCACGACGTTTCGGCCACAACGCAAGCAGCCGTCCTCAGGTGAAGAACAGGTCTGTCGGAAAGACAGCGTCTACGTGACTTTACCGAAAGAACCAAGAAGATGAATCCCTGCAGTCATGAAAGCTTTAAATCGAAATTTTATTATGTTTTATTTTTATTATTTTATTACTTCCCTTCTACGTGACTTTACCGAAAGAACCAAGAAGATGAATCCCTGCAGTCACGAAAGCTTTAAATCGAAATTTATTAATATTATATAATTATATTATTTTATTATATTATTATGAAACTTTATTTTATTATTTTATTATTTTGTTGTGTTTTATTTTTATTATTTTATTACTTCCCTTCTACGTGACTTTACCGAAAGAACCAAGAAGATGAATCCCTGCGGTCACGAAAGCTTTTAATCGACATTTGCCCGCAGGTCCTCGCCGCCGAGAGCCAATTCTCGGGCCAACGCTACTGGGAGGTCAAGGTGGAGTGGGCACGCTGGTGCACAGTCGGTGTCGCGTACGGCAGCGCTCCGAGGAAGGGCCCGAGCGATGCCTGCGGCCTCGGAGTGTCCCCCGACGTCTCGTGGTGCCTGGAGAAAGACCGGGGTGCCTGTTTCTCGCGTCACAATGGAGCCAAGGTGCCCGGCGGGGCGAGGGCCAATCGGAATCTCAGGACAGTGGGCGTGTTCCTGGACTGGGCCGTGGGTATTCTGGCGTTCTACGACGCGGATTGCATGGAGCTGCTGCACGCGTTTCAACACAGGTTCACGGAGCCTCTCTACCCGGCGTTGGGCATCAACCGTGACGACGATTCTGTGACGGTGCTCAACTTGGGGTCTTGATGGGGGAGGTTTGGTGGCTGGGGGGAGGGTGGTGGTGGTGGTGAGCGTGGTAGGGATATTGGTTTGGATACGGTGCGGAGTGGAGTTGTGTGGTGGTTGGAGTGGAGTGGGGGTGGAGTGGGGGGGGTGGAGTGGGGGTGGAGTAGGAGTGGAGTGGGGGTGGAGTAGGAGGAGGTAGAGTGGGGGTGGAGTGGGGGTGGAGTGAGGGTGGAGTGGGGGTGGAGTGAGGGTGGAGTGGGGGTGGAGTGGGGGTGGAGTAGGGGGGGTGGAGTGGGGGTGGAGTAGGAGTGGAGTGGGGTGGAGTAGGAGGGGGGTAGAGTGGGGGTGGAGTGAGGGTGGAGTGGGGGTGGAGTAGGGGGAGGTAGAGTGGGGGTGGAGTGGAGTAAGGGTGGAGTGGAGTGGGGGTGGAGTGGGGGTGGAGTAGGAGTGGAGTGGGGGTGGAGTGGGGGTGGAGTAGGAGTGGAGTGGGGGTGGAGTGCTGCGGTGGGGTGAGTGTGCAGGGTGGAGGAGGAGTGAGGGTGGAGTAGAGTAGGGGGTGGAGTGAGGGTGGAGTGGGGGTGGAGTGGAGTGAGGGTGGAGTGGAGTGGGGGTGGAGTGAGGGTGGAGTTGAGGTGGAGTGGGAGGTGGAGTGGGATGGAGTCGGGGTGAAGTGGAGTGGGGGTGGAGTGAGGGTGGAGTGGAGTAGGGGTGGAGTAGGAGTGGAGTAGGGGTGGAGTTGGAGTGAGGGTGGAGTTGGGGTGGAGTGGAGTTTTGGTGGACTGAGGTGGGGTGGAGTCGAGTGGTGGAGTGGGGCGAGGGTGGGGGGCGGTTGATTGAGGTGGAGCATCGGCCAGTCACCTCACTCAGTCAACCCATACCACCTGGGTCTGTTCCGTGACCTCCTGCCAGCAGCGAGCCTTCGACACTTCGCGTGACCTCGGAGTGCACCTAGCCTGGCACAAGCGCCGTGGTGTTGTCACCGCTACTTAGTTGGTGGACAACAATTGTTGTGGTTGGGGTGGTGGAGGTGGTTAGCGCTGCGAACCCGGCAGACGCCCGAGTTCGATTCCAGCCCATGGCCACCACCGGTAGAGACGGTGATTATCTGGACCGGTGTCTGGGCCTCCCCTAGGTCAATTCAGCCTCAAGTGAGTGCCCGGTTCACTGGGGAAACAGAGGTGGTCGTGCGTGGTGGGGCTGGTTACCCCCTTCCCCCTCGTGTGCTGTGCCGGCCTTCATAGGTGCTCGCTAACAGCACTTGCCCCAACAGCCTGTTAAGGCTATACGGGGGACCTTTGTCTTTTGGGTGGGTGTGTGGATTGGAAGGGGAGGGAGTGAGTGGGTGGGTGAGTGTATTGGTGAGGGAGTGGATGTGTGAGTGTGTGGGTTGGGTGTGGGAGTGAGTGGGTGGGTTGGTGAGTGGCTGAGCGTGTGGGTGGGTTGGTGAGTGGGTGAGTGGGTAGGTTTGTGAGTGGGTGAGTGAGTGGGTTTGTGAGTGGGTGAGTCGGTGGGTTGGTGAGTGAGTGGATTGGTGAGTCAGTGGGTTGGTGAGTGGGTTGGTATGTGGGTGAGTGAGTGCATTGGTGTGTGAGTGGGCTGCTGAGTTAGTGGGCTGGTGAGTGGGTGAGTGGGTGGGTTGGTGAATGGGTGAGTTAGGGGGTTGGTGAGTGAGTGGATTGTTGAGAAAATTAGTGAGTTGTTGAGTGGGTTGGTAAGTTGGTGATTGAGTCGGTCGGTGAGTGGGTGAGTAGGTTTATTAGTGGGTGAGTGACTGGGTTGGTGAGTGGGTGAGTGGGTGAGTGGGTGAATTGGCGAATGGGTGAGTGGATGAGTAGGTTTATTAGTGGGTGAGTGAGTGGGTTGGTGAGTGGGTGAGTGAGTGGGTTGGTGAGTGGGTGAGTGGGTGGGTTGGTGAATGGGTGAGTGGCTGGGTTGGTGAATGGGTTGGTAAGTGGGTGAGTGGGTTGGAGAGTGGGTGAGTGGATGGGTTGGTGAATGGGTGAGTTAGGGGGTTGGTGAGTGAGTGGATTGGTGAGCAAATTAGTGAGTTGTTGAGTTGGTTGGTAAGTTGGTGATTGAGTCGGTCGGTGAGTGGGTGAGTAGGTTTATTAGTGGGTGAGTGAGTGAGTTGGTGAGTGGGTGAGTTGGCGAATGGGTGAGTGGCTGGGTTGGTGAGTGGGTTGGTAAGTGGGTGAGTGGGTTGGAGAGTGGGTGAGTGAGTGGGTGGGTTGGTGAGTGAGTGAGTGGGTGGGTTGGTGAGTGAGTGAGTGGGTTGGTGAGTGGGTGAGTGGTTGGGTTGGTGAATGGGTGAGTGAGTGGGTTGGTGAGTGGGTGAGTTGGCGAGTGGGTGAGTGGGTGGGTTGGTGAGTGGGTGAGTGAGTGGCTTGGTGAGTGGGTGAGTGGGTTGGCAAATTAGTGGGTGGGTTGGATAGTGGGTGAGTGAGTGGGTTGGTGAGTGGGTGAGTGGCTGGGTGAGTGAGTGGGTTGGTGAGTGGGTGAGTGGCTGGGTGGGTGGGTGAGTGGCTGGGTGGGTGAGTGGCTGGGTGGGTGAGTGGGTGAGTTGTTGATTGGGTTGGTGAGTGGGTGAGTGGCTGGGTGGGTGAGTGGCTGGGTGGGTGAGTGGCTGGGTGGGTGAGTGGGTGAGTTGTTGATTGGGTTGGTGAGTGGGTGAGTTGGTGAGTGGGTGAGTTGGTGAGTGAGTGGGTGAGTGGGTGTGTTGGTGTGTTGGAGAGTGGGTGAGTGATTGGGTGAGTGAGTGGGAGAGTGTGTTGGTGAGTGGGTGGGTTGGTGAGTGTGTTGGTGAGTGGGTGAGTGAGTGGGAGAGTGTGTTGGTGAGTGGGTGGGTTGGTGAGTGTGTTGGTGAGTGAGTGGGTGAGTGAGTGGGAGAGTGAGTGAGTGGGTGAGTGAGTGAGTGGTCGAGTGAGCCAAGTGAGACTGGTATCGTCTCGTGGCTATATGCAATTAAAAAAAGTTACGTTTCAAAAAACAACTACAGGAAATGTAGCAAATGCAAATCTAGGCATTGGAGGTTAAATCGAAAACCCTTGCACAATCTTAAATCTATAATAACGTGAAATAAATATCCTATAACAACACGTGTTGGGTTTGGCCTACTTATTTTTGTTATCATCATCATCAGTGTCTCATTCTTCACCTGAGGACGGCTGCTTGCGTTGTAGCCGAAACGTCGTGAGAATTATTTTATGTTTTATTTTTATTATTTTATTATTTCCCTTCTACGTGACTTTACCGAAAAAACCAAGAAGATCATCATCATCACCATCAAATCATCATCATCAGCAAAACTCGGGGGCACAATTTGCAATTCGTAAAAGAAATCGAATTCTATTGCATCATGACGTCATCATGACGTCATCCCCCCCCCCCCTACCGTTATTCCCTCCCACCCCCCACCGCGATGAACGCACAAGAGAAGTGACGTCATGAGCCACCTGCCTCTGGCGTGACGTCATCGCGAGGGGTGGGGGGAGATTTGGGGGGAATCCCCCTCGTGACGTCACTCGCATGACGGGGGGGGGGGGGGGGGGTGAATTGCCGAGGCTTCGATTCCTTCCGCACCTAATCGATTCTCTCACCCACCCACCCCGCCTGTTATTTACGAATCGATTCCAGCAAAACGTTACCGCCGTTGGTGTTAGATTCCACACGCGGCGATGCCGATTTAACGCATTCGTAGAATCGATACCGGAATCGAGGAATCGATCCGTCTCTTTTTTTTTCGTCATCCGCTCACTCGGGGCGGAGATTGCGCGTGACGTCACCGTAACGTGCGGGTGGGGGGGCCGTCAGCCATCTTATGTAGGGATAGATAACCCGCTGTTTGGTGAGTGGCGGGCATCTTACGTAGGGATAAACAGACAGGTGAGTGGCGGCCATCTTACGTAGGGATAAACAGACAGGTGAGCGGTCAGCCATCTTACGTCGGGGTAACCCGATTTTTGGTGGCGGGTGGATGGCGGCCATCTTACTCAGGGACTCCTCGCGTCACTCCCCACCCCCCACCGCCCCATTGACTTAACATGGGCGCTACCCCTTACCAACATGGCCACCGCAAGTTTTTTTCTCCGCCTGATGAAGACAATTTGCGTTACGATCGAAACGTCGTGGGTTTTTTTAACTTTTATTTAGTTTGAAAAATTTTCAATTTTATTTCTAATTTCATTTTGCATTCATTTTATTTTTTTTGTAATTTTCTATCTACGTGACTTTACCAAAGGATATAACCACCGCACTTTCTCCCTCTAACTTCTCGTCGCGACCGATGCGCTAAAGCGGCTCACGCCCGCCCCTCAGGAAGTCGTCGCTTCTGTGGCGGCGCTGGTGGCGGCGTTGCTGTTCGTGAAAGTTTCCCCTCAGAAAAGTTTTTTTTTGCGTGTAAATAAAAAACTAATTTAACGAACTAAACTTAATGGAGTTTGGTTTCGAGTAATAACAAGTATTTTGTTTCGATTTTAAAAGAGTACCGCTTTTTAAAATGTCCACTTTGTACGAGGGGATTGCTTTAATCCGTCAGTCGTGACATAGTTTAAGCTGGTAAGAGAGGAGTGAGGGGGGACCCTTATCTGTTTATAAAATATTTCGTGTAAAAAAGTTTAGTTTAAATTCGCTTTTGTTGTTGTAACTTTATCAACGGCGACATCGCGAAGCTTTTTATGAGGAAACGTGTTGTTCATTGTTGTTTAGAGAGTTAAGAGAATGCGTGTATCTTGTGTAGGCCCCCATCCACCCACCGAACCGAACAAGAATCGATTTCAGATGATCACCTAATGGGTGGTAAGTTTCTTAAGTCTTAATTTATAAACTCTATGACAACCTTTAACGTACAACTCGTTTGTTAAAGTCGTAATAGTTTGTAATCGTAACATGGCCTTGAATAGCGGTTAAACTGTGTCCATTGTACAAGTCCTAATGCATTAAACTCTTAAAAGTTCATAAAGTTATTAGCTTTTAATAAAACGCTGTGATCGCGATGTTATAAATGCTAAGATTGTATTAATTGTGCAATAATCTTACATTGTAATAGCACAGAAGATGTATATTTAGCTTATAACTTAACTTAGAACTTAACTTATAACTTAACTTAGAAGTTAACTTATAACTTAACTTATAACTTATACATTTAACTTATACATATAACTAATACATATAACTTAACTTATAACTTAACTTATAACTTAACTTAGAACTTAACTTAGAACTTAACTTATAACTTAACTTATAACTTATACATTTAACTTAACTTATAACTTAACTTATAACTTAACTTATAACTTACTTATAACTAATACATATAACTTATACATATAACTTAACATATAACTTATACATTTAACTAATACATATAACTTAACTTATAACTTATACATTTAACTTAACTTATAACTTAACTTATAACTTAACTTATAACTTACTTATAACTAATACATATAACTTATACATATAACTTAACATATAACTTATACATTTAACTAATACATATAACTTATACATATAACTTAACATATAACTTATACATTTAACTAATACATATAACTTAACTTATAACTTAAACTTATAACTAATACATTTAACTAATACGTATAATTTAACATATAACTTAACTTATAACTTAACTTATAACTTATACATATAACTTATACATTTAACTTATAACTTAACTTATAACTTAACTTATAACTTCTACATGTAACTATACTAATCATACCTATTGCAATCGTAGTCTTTAACAGGCTCATATACAACATCATAATCGGTCACTGTTACACATTATACACAATAATAGTGGCTATAATTACACTGATAATCGATAATCATACAGTCCTGTACATTGTTAAACAATATAGTGTGTCAATCTACACTACGACACATTGATACACTGTTATACACTTAACCATGATATGCTACTTTATAATTGCTATTTTAATTGGACTAGTATCATTCTTACACCCTTGAAGGTCAATTGTATTGCGAGCAGAGATGTGATATTAGTATCATTGTCATCAACATCATCATCAGCAACACCATCATTTTGATCATCATCATTGACACCATGAATACAATCATCACCACCGCCATCGTCATCATTGTCGCCATCATCATCACCACCATCATCATCACCACCACCATCATCACCACCATCATCATCACCATCATCATCACCACCATCATCATCACCATCATCATCACCATCATCACCACCATCATCACCACCATCATCATCACCACCATCACCATCATCACCATCATCATCACCACCACCATCATCACCACCATCATCATCACCATCATCATCACCACCATCATCATCACCATCATCATCACCACCATCATCACCACCATCACCATCATCACCATCATCATCACCACCACCATCATCACCACCATCATCATCACCATCATCATCACCACCATCATCATCACCATCATCACCACCACCATCATCACCACCATCATCATCACCATCATCATCACCACCATCATCACCACCATCACCATCATCACCATCATCATCACCACCACCACCATCACCAGCATCATCACCATCATCACCACCATCATTGTCATCATTGTCGCCATCAACACCATCATCACCATCACCACCATCATCACCACCACCATCACCATCACCACCATCATCACCATCATCACCACCACCAGCATTACCAGCATCACCACCATCATCATCATTATCATCATTACCACCACCAGCACCACCAGCCTTGCAATCATTATCATCATCACCATCACCAGCACCATCACCAGCATCACCATCACCAGCATCATCATCACCATCACCAGCATCACCATCACCACAATCATCATCATCACCATCACCAGCATCATCATCACCATCACCAGCATCACCATCATCAGCATCATCATCACCATCACCAGCATCACCATCACCACAATCATCATCATCACCATCACCAGCATCATCATCACCAGCACTATCATCAGCATCATCATCATCACCATCACCAGCATCATCACCACCATCATCATCACCACCACCATCATCATCATCACCACCATCATCACCACCATCATCATCATCACCACCATCATCACCACCACCATCATCACCACCACCATCATCATCACCACCATCATCATCACCACCATCATCACCACCATCATCATAATGACTATCATCATCATCATCACCACCATCATCATAATGACTACCATCATCACCACCATCATCATAATGACTACCATCATCACCACCACCATCATCACTACCATCATCATCACTACCACCATCATCACCACCATCATCACCATCATCACCACCATCATCACCATCATCACCACCATCATCATCATCATCACCATCATCATCACCACCATCATCATCATGTGTGTGACTGGTGTGGAGTGGTGGTGCAGCGGTTAGCGCAAATGCGCTATGAACCCGTCATTCACCGGAGTTCGATTCCTGTTCACCACCACCACCATCATCAGTGGCCAAATCGGCAGCTGGGCCTCCCCTAGGTCGACTCAGCCTCATATGAGTACCATTGGTGGTATGCGTGGCTAAAGCACAGCAAGTTGGCACAGTAGGGGGCACAGGTGGTGCATCAGCCACTCATCTCGGTCATCTCAGTCAGTCGACCCGTGGCACCTGCTGGGTCTGCCCCGTGACACAACAACGAGCGGAGCACCGGGTGGCTAAAGCACAGCAAGTTGGCACAGTAGGGGGCACAGGTGGTGCATCAGCCAGTCATCTCGGCCAGTCGACCCGTGGCACCTGCTGGGTCTGCCCCATGACCTCCTGCCAGCGGGCGTTCGACACTTCACGTGGCAGCCTCAAGGTGCACATGGCCTGGCACAAGCGTCGTGGTGACATCACCGCCACTTAGTGGCGAATGGAGGTTATTAAAACATCGCCACTGGGGAGACAAAGGCGGCCAGGCAATGGCGTGGTGGTAGTGCTGACCACACACCGCCCATAATAGAGGTTTGTGTTTTGGGGGTTAGATCACGTCAATATAACTGCGTCGATAAACCCGCCACCACCCGACAGAGGTCGCAATCAGGTACCCGATACCCGTACCCTACCCGATACCCGGCTACCCGTACCCGGCCGGGTACGGGTACCCATTTGCGACCCTGGTGCGGCCGGGTACGGGTACGGGTAGGCCGTGAGTCACTGGTGAGTCACCGTTTGTCACTCATTTCGGGTAGGGTACGGGTAGCTAGGTACCCGTTTGTGACTGGTGCGGCCGGGTACGGGTAGGCCGTGAGTCACTGGTGAGTCACCGTTTGTCACTCATTTCCCAACGTCTTGTCTCTTCTCACAATTCAAGTTCCTAGAATCAACCCACCCATGCCTGCAACATGGCTTCATCCCAGAGGTCGCAATCAGGTACCCGATACCCGTACCCTACCCGATACCCGGCCGGGTACGGGTAGCCGGGTATCGGGTACGGGTACCCGTTTGCGACCCTGGTGCGGCCGGGTACGGGTAAGGAATCAAAACCCGTTTGCGACCTCTGCCGCCCGACTCACAGCCAATCGGTATTGGTGGTGTCGTGTAAACAAAACGTGGCCAGTTCGTTACTAGTTGAGCACTAACCGGTTGTGTGTTGGAGAGTAAACCCACTACTACATTTACAATTATAGTGTAGTGTATAGTGTAGTGTATAGTGTAGTAGTGTATAGTGTAGTAGTGTATAGTGTAGTGTAGTGTATAGTGTAGTATACTAGTACAACACTAACCGGTTGTGTGTTGGAGAGTAAACCCAATACGACATTTACAATTATAGTGTAGTGTGAAGTGTATAGTGTAGTGTATTGTGTAGTGTTTAGTATAGTATACTTGTACAGCACTAACCGGTTGTGTGTTGGAGAGTAAACCCACTACGGCATTTACAATTGCAGTGTAGTGTATAGTGTAGTGTGACGTGTATAGTGTAGTGTAGAGTATAGTGTAGAGTTTTGTGTATAGTGTAGTGTATAGTGTAGTACTAGTTCAACACTAACCAGTTTGTGTTGGAGAGTAAACCCATTACAACATTTACAATTGCAGTGTCGTGTATAGTGTAGTGTATAGTGTAGTTTAGAGTGTAGTGTATAGTGTAGTGTACAGTGTAGAGTTTAGTGTAGTATACGAGTACAACACTAACCAGTTGTGTGTTGGAGAGTAAACCCACTACGACATTTACAATTGCAGTGTAGTGTATAGTGTAGTGTATAGTGTAGTGTACAGTGTAGAGTATAGTGTAGTATACAAGTACAACACTAACCAGTTGTGTGTTGGAGAGTAAACCCACTACAACATTTACAATTATGGTGTGTATAGTGTAGTGTATAGTGTAGTGTTTAGTATAGTAGTGTATAGTGTAGTATACTAGTACAGCACTAACCGGTTGTGTGTTGGAGAGTATATCCACTACGACATTTACAATTATAGTGTAGTGTATAGTGTAGTGTATAGTGTAGTGTATAGTGTAGTGTACAGTGTAGAGTATAGTGTAGTATACAAGTACAACACTAACCAGTTGTGTGTTGGCGAGTAAACCCACTACTACATTTACAATTATAGTGTAGTGTATAGTGTAGTGTATAGTGTAGTGTACAGTGTAGAGTATAGTGTAGTATACTAGTTCAACACTAACCGGTTGTGTGTTGGAGAGTAAACCCACTACGACATTTCCACTTGTAGTGTAGTGTGTAGTGTAGTGTGTAGTGTAGTGTGTAGTGTAGTGTATAGTGTAGAGTATAGTGTAGTATACTAGTACAACACTAACCGGTTGTGTTGGCGAGTA